ATATGCTCACACACAAAAATATATATATGATATATCACACTTTAATGGAAGGCCTTGTCCCTATTCCCTCACAAGAGCACTGTTTAGAGTTCCCAATCATTCTAGCCTGAGGCATTCTGTTATTGTCTTACATTTCTGAGATTGGGAAGAGGTTCTGTTCCACACCTGCTGGCCTGAGGTGCCCTGGTGAATGTGTGTCCCTCCTCCCTTTTTCCCCCGGGGTTAAAGAATCATCTTTGGATTGAGGCTGGCTGGCTCCTGCTCAAAACATCTGAGCAGAGGAAGCTGTGCAGCCTTAGGAGGTCCTGAAGGAGAAAAGGAGAGGAGGTGTGAGGTGAGGGGCAGCTTTTCTTACTCTGGAACTCCTTATTTGTTTATTGGTTGATAAAAGGGCAAAATAAGTCTCTTTCTGAAATTGTAATTCAGAGTTCAATTTGGCAGGGGGGGAAAACAAAAGGGCACCCTTGAGGTTTAAATATCATTCACTGACTTCGAAACTCTCAGTTGAGTGCTAAGTTCTGGGACTTTCCGGCTGGTATAAAACCTAACCAACTGCTTCCCCAGGAGGGAGCTAACCTATGTAACTTCTCCAAATCACACTACATGGGATTCTACATAGAAGGACTTTCATACATGCTTAGATTATTTAGAAGCATTAGCAAATACTCTTGTCTCTGTATTTCGTGATACTTGAAACTTGTACAAGATGTAGATCCAATATTTGGGGATGATTTTTTCCAGCATGTTTCATCTTAGAGGACATGGTGAACTTCTGGAGTCACCAAGATAAAGCAGGTGACTAATTCCAGAAGGAGAAAAAGAATGCTCACAGAGAAACTACAGAGTGTCATTATTGTTCAACTTGAGTGTTGATGCATCATAGCATTTTAACAATAGTACCTGGAATGCTGACATTAGACATTGTCTGTCTTTCAAATTAATTAAAATAAGTTCATCTTCAGCATATTATTTTATAAGGCTTAAAACCAGGGGCTGTGTAGGTCCTGGTGAGAATTCCAACCCCCCAGGTTTCTAGTGCTCCTTTATGGTATCCTGTGCAGGAAACAATGAAAGTTGAATAGAGCTAACCCCAAATAAAGGGCTAAAGCTCAATAATGACACAGCTCAAGTAGACCCATGTCCTTCACCAATTTTCAAGTTCTAAAGCAAGTTTGTAGAGCAAAACAATTATCCAGCAGATAAACAAAGTCCACCCAAAAGGTGAAGTCGATTTCAATTTTTGATAAAATATCTCTTTTTATTTAGCTAAAAAGTCTCTTTTCATTTAGCTATTCTTAGTCTGAATTATTCCGTTAGTTATATGGGGTAAAGCTCAAGTATAATGTAAACCACAACACATATGATAACAAAACAATGAGAATGTTTTTGTGGCCACCAAAAAAATCCCTTGATTTATACTGGGGGGGGGGACTGAATTGTCTATGATAAAAAATAATATTCCACATTCAACTTTAAATTTTGTCAGAATTATTTGAGGTCTTCATCCAAATTGCCATTTAAAAATGTCATCCTCACTATCACAATATTACCAAGTAGCTGTAGCTTATCTGGACATTTGTCATTTCCTTTCTCTGAACAAAGGAACCACAGCAAATCTGAGTTACAGAACTGGAAATGTGAATGCATTTTAGAGAAGGAGACTATAAAAAGTACAGGCTTTGGAATTGAAAAATTGTGGTTCTAATCCTGTCAGTTCCATTTAGTAATCAGTTTGACTGAGACTGAATTACTTAACTGCTCTAAGACTCGATTTTCTCATCTATAAAACGGGAATAAAAGTGGTGTACCTCCCTCATGAAGGTTGCTGTGTAGATTGAAATAAAATATGTCATAAGAAACCTGACCAGTAGGAAATATTCAATAGATGATCACTTATTAATAGTACCCACTACATTTTTTGCAAAAAAGAATCTGTGCCCCTACTTCTGATTTCCCTAAGGATCTCTGTCCCTGCTTTTGATTCAGCTAAGTGAGCACTGAGTTTTGTTTGTGATGTCTGAACTTTAGGGTGCAGATAGGAAAGCCAGAGGCATTACAGAAGGGGCATGTGCAGATGACATACGTGCTGGTCGACATGCATATGGTGGAGAGTCAACTGTTTATAGTGGGAGAGGCAAACAGTCTTGCATATTTGTCTCATCTGGGTAGGGTTGTCCTTTTGCTTGTTTATTTGTTTTCTTTAACCCTTTTAGAGTCTGAAGAAGAGTGAGTGACTCAGAGATTACAATTGCCTTTCCCAAGTGTACTTCAGAACCTAGGGAATTAGATAAGGAACTAATTATGTGACTTACAAGACCATAGTCTTCTCCTTCACCCAAGTTTTCTTGATCCCTTAATACTAGTCACAGGTCAAATGGAACTTCAAAAGTTTCAAGAAAGTTGTAGCCAGGTGCATTAATATTGCATATAGGTCATCTTCTCAAAAAAAAAAAAAAAAAAAAAAACCAAGAAGATGGAATATGGTCAGCAGGAGTTTACAAGGCAGTGACACTGTTTTTCATGATGGAGGGGATGTCTAGTGAATCTTCTGCCTGCCGCTCAAGTTCAGTTAGATGGGTTAGAGCTGTTCTGCTTAAACAGATTGCCTTCTTAGATGTGTTCATTAAATTTTGTGTTTCAATGTTCATCACCTCCTGAATTAGAATTGTCTTACACTTCAGCAAAATGCCTCAGAGCAAAAGTTCCTCAGTGGCAAAACAGTCTCATGTTTTGAAAACAGGATGCTTTGGTTGTGCAGCATAAAAAGAGGAACGGAAAGAGAAACAGTATAGAAAGGAAGAAAGCAAACAGCCCTCAGCAGGATCCCTAGCCCAACAACGGCATAAACAGTGACCTGTCTTTCTGACCTTCACTATGGCTCAGTTCCTGACCTCCTGTCGCCAAAGCCAACCAACGTCATTGGAAGAGGATAGGGGGAATGGCGCAGCTGCTGTGAGGGTGACTAGAATTTCCTGTCTCCTTCCTGACAGCCAGTCAGAAAAGTACAGGGTTGCAACAACAGTGGCTGAGGAAGGACCAACCCAGAACAACCCCCAGGAAGGTATCTTGTGATGACTGACAGGAGGATGGGGAAGTGGTCCCTCCCCTATTTTACTGAGAAGTATGAGCTCTCATCTAGGATTTTCAGGTTGAAAAAAAGTCAAAGGGGTCATTGGTACCCAGGATGTTGAAGTTTGTCAAAAGATGAACATGCCATGCTACTCAGTAAAGAGCTATATTCCAGCAACCAGTCACTGTCCTAACTGTCTCCCAAAGGCTCTCCTTTGGCCTTTTCTTCCTCTGCTAGCTTTGCCCAGGGGCAATTCTATGTGCACAATGAAGCTGTGAAAACAGATGTTCTGCTTTTGAAAAGTGTAGTACTGGATGTCAATTCGTTCTTTAGAACAAAGCATTAGGATTGGGCACTTCAGTGAAGGTTTGCTGGGCAAACCTACCAGATAGGAACGGGAAACGGGCAGTCCTTTCTTAAAGCCTCATGAAATCAGCTGCAGACATCATTGCTGGAGAAGTGAGTCCTCCTGGCTGCCCAGCTATATTTCTCCCATGTTCCAGGAGTAGCTATACTGGAATAGCAAACACTGAGTGTAAAAGCAACTGATTGTCCACACTCTTGAATGGGAGCCAGGTTGCATGACCTTGGAAGGTGATCGTGACAGGCTGATTGCCCTAACGTTGGGTGAATCATTTTCTATATAACTGAACAACGAATACTGGGGGAAATATTTCATTCAGCAGAACTGAAAGGACATAGATCTTTGAGGCATCTGATACACCTTAGAACTCTTTCAGTTGATGGTGTGCAGGAAACCAGTTGTTGAAAGGGTTAAGCGCCACTTTTGCCTAAAATTCAGTGATATGATTGGAGCACTGACACCCCTTAGTAACAAGAGGGGTCCTTTTCCTGGACTCCATGCTCTAAGAGAGCCTTGACCTGGGCTTCTTCCAGCTGCCATCTGATCCAGGAGGTGAGGAGTTAATCAGGCCAAAGGAACAAATGTTCTCGCCCCTCTAG